GATAGTTGAGCATTAAGCCTGTTTGGTGATCTTTCTTGTATTTCGTCATTAGTTGTAGATGTTACTCCTATTTTTTAAGTTTTTTTATTTTGATATAAGCTAATAACACTCCATTGTATAACTAAATGTGAACTGGTTATTCAACCAATAACGTATGTATGATCTTCATATGCATATCCTAAGAATCCATTCATACCTGTACGTTGAAAATGAATATGTTCTCTTTAGGAGCTGGTATGATAGCAGCGAGGCCTTCGATGAAATAATCAAACAGCGGTGACAAGAATTCAGTTTGGGTCATGTCATTTAACCGCACAGTGGCGCTGTTGAACAACATGGACTCTGTCACCAGGCGTACAATGAGTTGGCATTCCGCCAAAACCTCGTTGATCCCATCTGAAAAAAGAAAAAGGCATTTAAAACGCTTAAGTTCTCAGAGCATTTTCCAATAAATCAAGCTGACACATAGATAAAAATAGGGAGAAAGTGTCTAGAGCTCAAAATATGTGGTTAGGTTTTCATAGCCAAGTTCTATTATTCAACAAAACAAATTATTTTAAGTTTTGAAGCATATTTGATGAAACATTGTGTGCTTTGTTTATTTCATAGCAAAGCCATATTGAGCTACCTGCTCTGTCTACCACGTGGAATCGAACTCCGGATTTTAGCGCTGTAAGTCCGTAACTTACCGCTGTCCCGTATGGGATGCACTTTTTGGAATCGGATTTTTATTTCTTAACGAAGTTGCAGAGGTTCAGAGACAGAAATATTACTACAATCTTAACAATTGGTTTTAAGCTAGAGGCTGTTGTATTGAACCCTAAAGGATTTGCCTTTGATATATATATATATATATATCAATTCTAGATAACTGCTTGACCCACAAACAACTTGCTTTCTAGCATGTTGTTGAAGAAGTTTCTTTGTGTCTCATCCAAAAGGTAACGAAAAGAAGTTCTGCATGCGTCAGTTTCAACAAATAACTTTTATTATTGTGTAAGATTTACTCCAATAAATAATTATTAACATAAATAAACTGCAGTTATAGCAACTAATTTGGTCTCAATGTATAATATTCTTAATATCATACCAACTTCTTCATTACTGTATTTAAAATTCTTGGTCGTCTGCAAGTCCATTATTGACCGTTTTAAAAATGTTCTTAAAAATATCCAACTTTCCTATTTGCCGCCAATTTTAGGTTAAGTTCGTGTTTCATTGGTCTATTGGGCCATAGTATTGTGAAAACAGGGCGAAATTCTGCTGGTATTTAACGGAAATCGGCACCGATTCGTTTAGGAATTACAGTGAAGTGATTCTTGTTTTTTTAGAAACCGTTACCGAGTTTCGTTATTTCTTTATATTTCTTGGTGACTCCACTTAAATAGTACGTGAAGAGGTACCTTTAACTAGGAGAAAGTTTGATTTAAGTAGTAGGTGAAGAGGTAGCTTTAACTTGGAGAAAGTTCGATTTAAATAGTACGTGAAGAGGTACCTTTAACTTGGAGAAAGTTCGATTTAAATAGTACGTGAAGAGGTAGATTTAACTTGGAGAAAGTTCTATTCTGCATCACTGAGATGCCGGATCCTGCAAAAGGTGTGTGGTGAGTACCTGTAATTCTTTACGGATATTTTCACCACTACTTGGAAACCGACCTTTTGGGGTCGTTAGCCTGACTTCATATAGGAATACATAGTGGTCATTTTTGTGATAATAGGTCTGTGATGTTACTATTTGTAAACAACAGTTTCGTACCACTTTTAGAGCAGTGCAGTCCTGTAAGTAATCTTGGTCTAACCAACCGGGAAAAATCAAGTGTCTGTTGAAGATTGCTGCAGTGTTATCAAGTTGTATCTTTACCCTTATATTTTAGATTAAGCGTTGTTCTAAGTGTTGTTCTAACCAGTAGTTCTTGTACATTTTGTGCGGTTTCTTATTGTAAAAAAGAAAAGAAAGTAAAAGCTTATTGTTTCGTTTATGTGTAAACTCCACCGTTCTTTGGTTTTCATACAGGTCCTATACTCCATTTTCGTCTGGCCATTCTGATGGTGTCCATCTTTCTGTTAATCTGAACACCAGTTACCAAATAAATCCTCGAATCTCTTACATACACAAATATTTGTAACAATCATTTATTCATTGCATCTATTGGTTAAGTTTCATATATTGAGGATTAATCATATTTTGTAAGAACAATGTTCAAGCCCTGTGCTGCATCTGGAATAACACTGTCGATTACTGACTGTACTCATTCTAATGGCCATAATTATGCACTATTGTCAGGCAATGCAGTTTCCATTGTAATAAACTTCTGCGAAAGAAGATGAAGTTATTGTGTGATCATACACTTTGACAAACTTTCCAAAGACTCTACGTAAATGCCGGATTTAAGAACCACGTTTAATCAGATCAAAGACGCGAAAACCCATTGGAGCTGCATCGGGAAACTTAACAATGTGATTAAATGCGATTGTTGTGAGTCTAGATTATTCTGACATATTTTTGTGTGTATGTGCGTGTGCGTGAAAACAGTTGTTGATTTCGAGGTGTGTCTGGAAGTCTCTGAACCTTCATCAACTTAAAAATACTTGTTTATTATGTTATCAATAATACCATCTTCGTTGCTATGGATTTTCGAGTCGGAGGGTTCTCTTTCGTAAATGTAACTTGCATTTTACATATTAGGGCAATACTCTTTACTAGAGTAAGTTCTTCCGTTTCCATTTAGGACATTGATGGCTTCCTTGTGTCCCATGGCTCTTCATCGTTTATCAATCTTACTATACGAATTTTCCTCCACGGAAAGTAATGTGAAATATTCTTCCAGCCATAGTTCCATTGCACCTGGAAGGGTCATGAATTCGCCGTAAACCAAATATATATATACGTACTAAAAATTTCGCCCATGACGCAACAGTTCGTGTATGCGGCGACACGCGATTACATTAGCCTATTCAATTCGTTCTTATAAAGTCTGATTTACCCTTTATACAACGTAATATAACATGCACAATTTTGAAGCTTTACAAGTAGATTTTTTTTTACTTTCTGAATATCTAATATAACGTGAACATTCTAAAAAAGCTAAAGAATTACATTTTTGAATATCGTGAATAAAGCATGCTTTCCATACCAAAAATTCCTTATGCTTTGATGTTTTTCTTTAACAAAATTCTCTTACGACTAACGTGAATTTCCATTTGCCATATGCATCCTTCGTCTTCTTCATATTTTTATATGCATTACTACTTCCACCTCATACTAAGCAAAACTACAGACTATTGTGACGACCTGCTGAGATTGAGATACACATAGCATTAAAGAAAGTGATTTTTTACGACGGGACTCACAGAAAGAACCGGACCTCACCGGGATCATGATTGTTGCTTATAGCCATTGAATATCACGTATTGTGGAAATTACAAGCATGTTACACGAAGTCGTATGTAAAATTTGAAACTGAGATATATTTTAAAAATTCATAAATGTCTAACCTCCGTGTTAAAACAAATACAGTTTAATCCATGTTAGCTTAGCCTAAAGTTAAAACAAATACAGTTTAATCAATGTTAGCTTACCCTAAAGTTAAAACAAATACAGTTTAATCCATGTTAGCTTAACCTAAAGTTAAAACAAATACAGTTTAATCCATGTTAGCTTAGCCTAAAGTTAAAACAAATACAGTTTAATCAATGTTAGCTTACCCTAAAGTTAAAACAAATACAGTTTAATCCATGTTAGCTTAACCTAAAGTTAAAACAAATACAGTTTAATCCATGTTAGCTTAACCTAAAGTTAAAACAAATACAGTTTAATCCATGTTAGCTCAACCTAAAGTTAAAACAAATACAGTTTAATCCATGTTAGCTTAGCCTAAAGTTAAAACAAATACAGTTTAATCAATGTTAGCTTACCCTAAAGTTAAAACAAATACAGTTTAATCAATGTTAGCTTAGCCTCAAGTTAAAACAAATACAGTTTAATTAATGTTAGCTTAGCCTCAAGTTAAAACAAATAGAGTTTAATCAATGTTAGCTTAACCTAAAGTTAAAACAAATACAGTTTAATCCATGTTAGCTTAACCTAAAGTTAAAACAAATACAGTTTAATCCATGTTAGCTTAGCCTAAAGTTAAAACAAATACAGTTTAATCAATGTTAGCTTACCCTAAAGTTAAAACAAATACAGTTTAATCAATGTTAACTTAGCCTCAAGTTAAAACAAATAAAGTTTAATTAATGTTAGCTTAGCCTCAAGTTAAAACAAATAGAGTTTAATCAATGTTAACTTGACTTAAATTAAAGAATACAGTTTAATCCATGTTAACTTGACTTAAATTAAAGAATACAGTTTAATCCATGTTAACTTGACCTATAGTTAAATAATACGGTTCAGTCCATGTTAACTTGATATAAAGAATATTGTTTAATTCATAACAACCTGAACTAAAATTAAATATTTCTCTATAAATGTGGAACAAGTTATAAGTTGTCTAAAGCGTATAGAGTTGTCTCTTAAAAAGAACGATCGTCTTTGAACTTTTAGTGTTAAAGAAATACATTTGTTTCGAACACTCTACAGTCAGATTCTTTTCCCTAACTGCCATATAAATCAGACGCTATTCATGAACAAGCTATGAAATTTGTTAAGTTTCCTGTACTTTTACAGGAATAACAGGAAACTCGAGCATGTACTGGTCAAATTTGTTAATCATATGTTTCGTTTTAGTCTTTTATTCTCCAATATAAGAACTGCGGGTCAAGATAAATAGGCTAAAGTTACTGTCCACATGACCAGGAATAACTGACAAGTCAAAGCCAATGAACTATTTTCGTCCAGATAATTATTATATTACACACTTTATCACTGAATCAAACATGCAGACGCCAAAATATTCTGACCTTTGATCTATAATATCAATAAAGAGGATTAACTGACCTTTGATGTATTTAAGGAAAATCAATAGAAAGATATTACAGGACTATTTTATACTCTACTAATTTCCATCTTCTTTCACAAATTAAGAGTGTTAACTCAAACAGGCCATCAATCACCATTCTATCTTTTGGTCAACGACAAGTTAATATTTCCAGTAACCAGCTTATCACGCTATCGACTTCAGTTAACGTTACGGAAAAACAAACACACAAAAAACGAAAGAATTCTGATATTCCAGGGGCATTCTCATCTAACCTTTATTACTAAATGTTGGGTATCAAGAAAAATACTTTTAATCTCACTCAAAATAACGTACTAATTAGAATACTGCTAATGAAAATACTAATTATCTTTTTATGAGAAAATGTGATCGCCTGGCAACGTGAACTATATATGTACTGTATATATATAGTCTCGTCAGTCTACCGGTTACATATAAGTTCAGTCAAATATTGCA